GTGGGAGGAGGCAGGCAAGGATTTAGAGAGAGGCAAAGCAGCTTGCAACCCTTCAGCAACCGAAATGGCTGAACAGCCACAGACCTTCCTGTCCTCCCTTCGCCGTCCCCCTCCTCTTCACTCGCCTGCACTGACTCCGTGAAACGTTAAAGCAGGAGAAGCACTGCTGAGAGCCGGCAGGAATCCCGTGTGCCCAGCAACCCCTCCATCTTCCCAGTAACACTCCTGGCTCCCTCCAACTGTGGAGTCTTTTTTTTAAAGCATTTATTTTCTTAGGACTGAATCATTTGCAATTGAATATTGTAACAAAGATGTTAATGACAATTCAGAATAAAAATGGTCTTAGCATCGGTCTGCAAAGATTTCATGGCAAAATGGAGAAGCATTCTGCGGCGCAGAAGAGCCTTTCCAAAGCCATGGCTTCACAGAAAACAGATGCAAAATGAGGCTTTTTGTGGTGGTAAGAAGACAACACAGAGAAATCAACTGTGTCAAACCCCAGTTATTGTAAAGAAGAGAAAGCTACTTACCCAGAGCTGATCATCCATTCCCGGTGGGTTCTTTTTAATAAAAGCACCATAATAAGTAGCAATATTTCGGTGGTGAGAATACTTCTTCAGCATGTTAATTTCTTGTTTGATCTCTTCCTCTTCATCCTGGGATGAGGTGAAGAGAAAAACAAAACCAGAGGCACTAAGAGTCTGCACTTCACAGGCTTCACATTTCTCTTTGTAGGTGGGTGACCTTCCACGCATCCCATTTCTGACCCACCTCTCCCAAGTTTCCTTGCACCATTTTTTACACTTTTTGGAGTGGAAAATCTGTGGCTGAAAATGTTAGTTATTGGGCAGGATCAGATCTGGGCTGCTTTCTCCAACATCTTTGCTGGGAAGTGATGATATTTTAAAACCACTGAACTAAGTGTGGTCTCAAATTTAAGCACCTGTTTGGCGTCAAAGTAATATTCTGATTTCTCATCTTAAATTTGTTGTCAATTCAGACTTCATCCCATGGGGATCTCACTGCCATTTGTGCCACAGGTTACGTTTAGTCTCATGGCTTCCCACAAGAACTAGATAAATGGCACCTGTAGTTTGTACCAGGCACAAGTAAACAGAAACCAAACTCATTCACATTTACAGATTTATTTTCACACATTATTTCACCTGTTAGGACAAAAAAGAACCTGGAGGAAGGTTCTGCAGATATTAATATCACACTACAACATCTAAGGTATTTCAAAACATACTCCTGAGGCCAGCTAACTGCTTTCACAACAAGTCAATTCTGTATGTGCTGAAGTCCTGAAAGCTAATTAAAAACATTAAGTCAAAAAATAAGGTGGGTAGATTGGGATTAAGTCCTAAATTTTGAAATGTGTTACTTCAGTTAAAAAAAAAAAACAACCAAACCACCAACCAAAACAACAAACACATTCTTGCTCCCAAACCTGGTGTTTATATAAGCAGGAACTTTGGGAGGTATAATACTGCACTTAACTTTTTGTTTTATTCAAGAAAAAGCATTTTCAGGTGACCGTCCTACATGCACCTGTTTAGGTTTTTAGGGATCATAGCAATTCTACTAATTTATTTCCACTGTGGCCACTGGCAAATGCTGAAACCACTCTTTC